TCGATCGGGCGGCCTTGGGCCGCGTTAGTCGATCGCGCCGCCGTCGCTCCGTCGATCGTCGCCGTCGATCGCCCTTGTAATAAATAGGACGAAAACACACAACACACACATGTATCCTCGTTTATATGTATTCTCTCTCGCTCTCTCTCGCTCTCGCTCTCTCTCTCTCTCGCTCACTCTCAACTGCTATCAGTCGCTCCCGATGTTTTGGAAACAAGACGACCGTTCAACCAGTTTGTGTTGCAATCAGCGTGCTGTATTATTTTCAAGTGATTGGGGGTATCCTGAAGTTTGTTGTAGGATGCGCAACGATTAAACATTTTATTATGTATCCAACCAAGAGGAAGGGGGGCGGCACTCGCTGCTATCTCACGTGGGTAAGGTCCCGGTCAAGATAATCACCAACCGCCTAACTAAGCGCCTTCGGCGAAACCAACATACCTGAGGAACAGTGCGGGTCCAGACCTAGGCGATCCACCATCGACATGTTATTCGTCGTGCGCCGACTCCTGTTTGCACCATCAACGACTTTCTTTGTGCGGACACTTTTGGTCCACCAAATTTCGTCCATTTACTACTCGGCTCCCAAGGTTTCGGATCGCATTGATTGCTGACCATAATGAATGCTCGCGTGCAGCGTTAGCAGCCGGACACTATTATTATACTGTGTTCAACTTTACCTACCTACACCGGGTCCAGCAAAGGTTCAGCGGTAAGCGAAGCTGATTTTCTTTCGCGGTTGGTTGCCTTTGCCCGCGAAATACGCAGCTAGCTGTGGCAAGTTTGGCCCCGACAACATCGACGGTGTCGACCAACCGGGGGGTGTTTTTCTGTTTTTCTCATTCATGCTTGTGGGCTCACGTATCACTCCTCGTCTGTCTTCAACCGAGGTCGGCATTGGTTGGGTGGGCAGGAATTTCCGCCCTCTCATCACAGCAGGTGGCCTCAGAATTTGGAGTACTTTTTTTTCAGCCGACGCTACCACCCACGCATGCATGCTCTCCCCCTGCCCTCTTTCTCGTGAAACTTCTCGGAGGTCTTCGAGGCTCCATTGTTTCGTCTGTCGCCAGACCTACCGGCACTGGTTCCTCGCCTTCCTCCATTTTTCCCGTGATGTGCCCCCTCCTCGGTACAGTAGCTACATTGTGCCTTCGGCTTTGCCGACCTGTACATGTTTCGTCTTCGCTTGCGGAACGAAGACCGGTCATTTCTTTCGGGGACAAGAACCACAGGCTTCGGCCGCGTCGGGTACACACAGTTGGCGCCCGCGATTAAGAACCGTCAATTAAGTGGTCGACGCTCACTTTCTGATTTCGTCGCCCACCGTCGAGTTTTAGGTCATTATGTTGAGTTTAGTGCGGACTCCACGGCTGAGGGTGCGATTCTTTGTCGGTTTTTCATATTTATCGCCAAAATCTGGGCCTTCGTGTCATATTCAAGGTTTGTTTCTTATTCGCGGGCGTTAATTGTACCCCCGTCACTGGTCCTAATATACATACCTTCGGATGGAAGCCACGGATTACGGTCATCCCTCACCCCTCGTTGCCTGCTCGTTGGTCTACCAGGTCTCGCCAGGAAGCCCAACAAGGCGGCGGGGCACGCTTCCGGTTCGCCTTGGCAACCTGCGACGTCTACATGGATGGGCAGTTTCGTCGAATGTTTCGGCGCCGTTGGTGGTGCCCCCATCGCCGGCTGCGCTCTCTTTCCCCTGTCTCGCCTGGGATTGCGCCGCCGCCTTCCAGGGTGTAACCCGAGGCCGCAAACTATTGTGCCGCCTCTTCGGTTGGCTCGTCTGGAGCCGTTCCTGGTTCAGCTGCCACCGACACCTGCCTCTCATTTACGGGATTGATCGTGTCCAGAGCCTCTACACGGTGGTTTGGGCTCGAGAACAACAACAACAGACAGAGCGGATGTGTGGCAAGAATCATTTTTTTCTCTCCCGCGTTCTCGTGCCCCGCCTCCGACGGATTTTGTCGGATCTCTCGCCCTCTCTTCCCTCCAAATGTACAGGATGTTCTACCGTTGGCCGTAAAAGCTCGATGGATTGTAACGACAGACAGACGTCAACATCACGCTTGCTTCTCGTGCACAAATGGGCGTCTCTGACGGTTGGGTGCTCTGAGATAGGTCCACCCGCTTGCCGGTCACTAGAGTTCTCCGTGTCTACGCGCCCATCCATGTTAACGCACCCGCGTGTTCTCCGTGCTTGCCATACCGCAGTTGCGGTTGGTTTAGGAGTTCATCGTGCGTTGCGAACACTCGAGCGCTTCTGGACTGTCCTGGGTCGCTCTGTTCGTTGGTGGCATATATCAAGCTCGCAAGACTTTGCGTCAGCCCGCTCGGTGGCCTCTCATCGATGTCCTTTTGCCTTAGGGCCCTGACATTATGGTGGGGGTAGATTTTGTTGGGCTTTGCCGGTGACTGCCAAGGGAAATTCCTACATGATGGTGTTCACGGACCATTTTAGCCGGCGGGCGGATATGTTTGCTGCCACTGCTTGCCGAGTTCACGGCAACATGCGTTACGTAAAGATGGATGGCGCGCGCCCTCACAATAAGAGCTTGGGAGATAACGACATGCATGCTCAATGAATTCAATAATGTAAGAACTTTTGGCCATATCAAGAACAGAACAATAATTTAATCAAGAACAACCTTCATTGTGGTGTACAATGCGCGTACAGATTAGTCTAAAGAACGGACCCCGAAAACGCGGCGGCTGCACGCAAAGAACGCAGGAAGAAGGTGGGGGGCGACCCCAACAGTTTATAGATCTGGGGCGGGGAGTAGGGGGGGGGTCATGAAATAAACCTGGTACCTGCGGAGGGCGCGGCCGGGTAGGTGCCCACAGGCGCGGCGTTTCCCTCTCGTAACGTGTGCAAGTTAACCTTGTGGGCATTGTTACTGCTTTATTCTTGAGGAGCATGGCCAACCTTCCTTGTTGAAGGGAAGGGAAGGACCGACATTTCGAGGCGATCAACAACATGCCATTACGGGCAACTGCTCGAACACTGGAAGACCACCGAGTTCACGTGGGGAGGGGTGAATATCGAGGTAGGTGCTGGGGCGAGGGGGATAAGAGCAGGGAGGGCATGGAGGACGGCGGTCCCAGAGATGAAGACGATGACGATAAGCTGCATGGTTGGATGTCGTTGTCGTTGTCGTTGTTGTTGACCTTGTCCTTGTCCTTGTCGTTTTCTTTGCTTCCGCGGGTAATTGGCAGAGGTTCTTGTTGATGAAAGTCAGTTTTTCCTTCGTCAGTTCTTGCTGTGATTTGCAATGCGCTTTCTTTGCAGGTACGGTCCACGGCCAGAACGACTTCCTGAGTCTCCTGGATGAAAACAGCAGCATGGCCCCGGGGGATGAGCTTATACGGCTTTCCCATTCAATCAAGCATCTGTGCCCGCTGCTCTCGACTGTTCCTTTCTGCTGCTTAGGGTGGTACTCCTTAGGGGAGACATGGGCTGGTTTGGTCGGCTGATCCCTCGGCAATCTCAGTAGTGTGCCCGCCAACCTTACGATCTCACCGTGTGCATTCGAACTGGACCAAAGTACGCACAGCATGATGAACCGGCCGTTACAATAACAACGGAGATCCGAATACCGTCGCAGGATCGTGTGGGTTTTGATTGAGCAGGGGGCAGTTTAGAGCACCGGGGGGGGTGTCCTACCATCGCAGAAGAAGACGAAGGGTTTGGCCTTCACCATGTAGCTGCGGCGGGGTGCGGGGAGGACACGAACGAACGCCCAACGTAACGCTAACCCTGTGGTTGCGTGTTGCTCATGATGGGTTTTGTTTTTGCTTGGCGAGGCCTGCCACGGTCTGTACTTGTCTACTGGAAGTGAGTGGGAGAGCTGATTTCGTCATTACAATGTAGGTGGATGCCTGCTCAAAGTGAGACCTTCGAATATTACATAGAACACGGAGCATTGAACCCTCCCAAATAAGCGTTTAAGGGTTAAGGGCGGGCGCCACCCGTTATGATGACATGAATGACCACCAGTCACCACAGGATCAACCGATTGATTCCACGGTACGTTTTTTCCCACCCAGGCACAAAAACAACAACAGCTGCAGCACCAGCGGTAAAGGCTCTCATGTGCGTGGATGATCGACCCACGAATCCGCGCTCGTTGATTCTTGGGGCTGCAGCACCGAGTACCCCTTTCGCGGCACATAGACGGCCTTGCTTCTTGGTCTCACGTCGCAGGAGAAGATCCCACACGCCAAGGGTATGTAGTGGTATTTGACCCCTTCCTTCAGAATCAATCACCTTTGTGCTGTGTGTCTCTCTTGTCCGCAGCAGAAGCAGGTTGTTGTTGCTTTTTCCGTTGTTCTCTTTCTCTTGATTAACCCTTTTCAAGCCAATTCACAATATCCCACGCACACACGATCAGGGATCGTCTGTACGCTCACACTGAACAGAAGAGCACATGTCTCGGCATAAAGCCCTGATCTAGCATGACGTCACGTCCTAGCATCCGACGGCGCCAATAACCATGATCAACCACGATCACATGTCTACCTCCAAATGCCATAACACTAGCCCACCCTGAGTGGACGTAGATGCAGAAACAGAAGCAAACCTCGGAGGGACTCTAGTCAACCAAGAGGATTGCGGTATGGATCGAAAATGCGACAACTCACAACCCTCACCCGCACCTCTCCGTTAACCAAACAAAAAAAAAACGGAACCAAGAAACAAGAAAACAAAGGAGACCGGGGCGGCACACTCGCGGGATAAAATCGGAAAAAGGCACATGGGTGCGAAAAAAAACAAACCATCCGAACCGATTAGACCATAACACGAAGTAAGGAAATCGTGAA